CAACAACGGAGTAGACACAAACCTTTACCAAACATGCATGACAGACGAATGGGAGTTTGAGGATGTGGTGTGCAGAAATGACGAAATAGATAAAGTCACGATACAAACGTCAAGTCGGGTGATGCAAACAACGGCACACAGTCGGGGGACCTCTTTAGTGTGGGTGCCAAGTATCGTGCGGGCGAAATCGACTGACACAGATGGAACACTCGACGGATATTCACATGATAATGCGGGTGCCCACTATAGTTCGCGTAGAGGCGCTTGTGGCTTTTACAGAGGGCACCCAGCTGTATCGGTAGCGAATGAACCCGACATTCTTCCTTGGCAGCCCTAACCGGCGCAATGTGTTTTGCTTCGAATTTCTTCGTAGTAGTTGGCTATTTCGTACCCAATTGACCTTCGGGACAAAAATTGTTCCTTTTATGAAACCTTCAAGGACTACTCAGTTCAATAGAGTGGAGACCATAGCCCATGCTAGCCGGCCTTCGCGACAGAGGAGAAAATCGAGCTCGCAGACGGCTTGAACACATGGCGTGAATGGGTCACTGCTCTGTCCACCCTCTCTGCACCCGACAACAGGATCGCGTCACTTGTTCGGGGTGTAATGGCCCTGCAAGCCAAGTCCAACGAGTCTGTTGATGTGTTCGCACTCAGGGGTTTCACGAGCATACTCGCGTCTGCTGGAACAAGCAATACGCACAGCTCCCCCACATAAAACTCCTCACTGCCATGTCTTCGACAAAGTCATGAAATGCATCATTCGAGAACGGCATTCACCCGCACATCCGAACCGATATGCTTCGGGAGGATGCCAATGAATCCTTAATGGACTACTCAAAGGACGCGCTCGAAAACGCGAAGCAATAATCGGCTGAGACAACCACCGATTGCGTCCTCTGCCGTATCTTCCTTGTTCGAACCGACTGAAAGCCAGCTGTCCAAACAAAAGCGACGTGCTAACCGCTCCTCTCAACGAGAGGGCCACGTCTCGGGCGCGAACTCGAAAACCCGAGGCAGTTCGCGCCAACGAACGCAAGGGCGAGAAGAGAGGCCAGCGCACCCGCGACAGCAGCAAACAGCGACCGGGCAGAACAACAACAGCCGGTCGGGACAGGGTGGTGAAACTCCGTCCACCAAAAGCGCAAAAGAGGACTAGGAAAAAATAAACTTCACGTTCTTGGTTTCGCGAGGCATCGAACCCCCCACCGGCTACTTCGGGTGCACAAGCTTAGAGGGGTGGGATGACTGTTTTACAATGCTACCCTAACCCCATCCGTCTGTTCACCCTCCTCTGAGGAACTCATGAGTTTTTGGTGCAGGGCCAGTTCGTGCTCGATATGACCACCGCGCTGGACCATGTCATGCACATCATGCGGCCGGACACGGGCGCCATGTGACACTCATGAGCACGAACTGGCCCTGCGCCAAAAACTCCATGAGTTCCTCAGAGGAGGGTGAACAAACGGATATGGTTAGGGTAGCACTGTGAAACAGTCATCCCACCTTTTAAAGCTTGTGCACCCCAAGGGGCGGGTGGGGGATTCCATGCCTCGCGAACCAAAGAGTGCGAAAATTTCCCCGCTCTTTCTTGCGCGCCTTGTTGGACGCAATTCCACCACCCTACCCCGACCGAATGGTGTTGATCCGCCCGGTCGCTGTTTGCCCTTGTCGCCGGTACGCTGGCCTCTTGCGTTCGTTGGCGTGAACCGTCTCGCGTTTTCGAGCTCACGCCCGAAGCGGAAACGGTATGCTCATTCTTTTTTGGTTCCATTACTTTACTTTGCGTCCCAAAAGTAAACACTAAAAAATACCAAAACAACTAAGAATGAATTTTATTGCGTCCCCAAACCCGAAAATTTAAAAATGCCCGAAAGCAAAAACCAATCCAACACCTCGGACAAAAGGCGTTACCCTCTAGTGCAGATAAAACACAGCGCTCACAGCATTTCTTCCCGGTAGGAGGGAGCCTCAATCCGTGGACAGGCGGGAGGCTTCATGTCCCTGAGGCCCCCTACCCATGTAGGACTTTATTTACAGTTGAGGAACTTGCTTAGTTTTGGGGTCGCTGAGGTTCGCTGGGCTCTTGAATCCAAGAACACGTGAGCTGTGTGAGCTGTTCCAGCTTGGGGGAACGTAGCCGATAGCAGCTGGCAGCTGATTCCCACGAGCACATGCACCATGCTTTACTTTCATCTTGAATCACGTCCTGATGACAACACCATCACTACTATGCTCTCATGACCCCACTCCGGAGACGCGCGTTGTACATTACTAGATCGGGAGGTGGAATAGTTTTTTGTGGTTGCAAAAAAGTACCTGCAGTAGGCTCGTGCGTTGCTACCATCGGGCCGTTTGCTACACAGCAGCAGAGGTGTGGGGGGCGCCATCACCACTGCTGGTCGAAAAAAAGAAAAAAAGAAAATAGGATGTCTAGGAAAAAAGACACCTCCACACGGACTCGAACCCATGACTTCGAGAGTCGGGGGCGTCACGATGGGAATCACTATCATCAGCTCGAGATGAGGGGGGGTCGTGTTGATAGTCATCGGCTAGCAGCAAAAAAAAAAAATCTGTCTCTCTGCACTTTGCACTGCTGTGTGCCCATTTTTCTTTGTTCGAGCTTTGATCGAGGCAACTCAAAAACGTGTGATGAGTAAACTGGGACAGACTAGCACGGGAGGCACTTGTCGCGCAATAGGAATTCGCGCACAAAAGTGTAGAGAGGCGTACAGCGGTACATATCACACCAATGGTGGTGTATAGCAGCAGCATCTGTGTGTGTTGTTGGTGTCATCTGCCTCTCTCCAAGAAAAGCGAGAGAGAGGCCGCCGCCGTGCTGCTGCTGCTGCTGCTGCTGCTGCTGCTGCAACCAAATGTTGATCTCTCCTCTCACTTCGTCCGGACCCGGTACCGGAGCTGGGAAGCAGGGCACCTTCTACACTGCTGTTAGACAACTTCTCCTTCATACATATAAGTAAAGGGAGGAGAGGAGGTCAATCTCCAGCACCAAAGGCATCATGCGACGGCATGGATAGCGTTGATTCCGCCGGGAGATGGTCGCATAGATGCGAACATATACATATATGAATATGGTTTTGGCAATGCGGCAAGCAGCGCGAAAGAGCCAACAGACGTCATATCGCATCCTTTCCTTCCCACACCATTCCACACTACTGTACTTTCTTTGTGCCGCGACAAAACTGCGACGGCGTGTTGTCACTCATCATGCACCCAAGCCATAGGATTGGGCACACTCCTTCTTGCTAGGGCCAGGCTATGGCAGCCAGTCATAGCGGCCCGGTGTCTCGCGCACGACGGTAAGGTTGGTAATGAACGCAGATGAACGAGCGAAATTCCGGGTGATGTCGTACGTGCCTCTTGCGTGAGCCTACGTACGTCTGATGTCTGGTCCAAACAAACAAGCCTCCTCCTCACTCGGGGACGCGTGACTCCGACATATATATCGGCGCGGATGCCTTCGTCACTCGACGCACCGACCACGGATTGCAAAGGTAGCGGTTGGGAGAGCTCGGGCAAAATGTTACTTGTTGTGCGCAAGTTTTAGTTTGCAATTTGGTGCCGAGATGGTGAAATGGGCTCGAGTCTGCTGGGTTATTAAGGGCGCGCAGACACCAGACAGACAGACAGACATCAGACAGCCATCGCGTCTTTTTACGCCCCTGGGCATGTAAATTATTCTTTTTCTCGTGCGCACATACATCCACACACGATCCCTCTTNCGGGTGATGTCGTACGTGCCTCTTGCGTGAGCCTACGTACGTCTGATGTCTGGTCCAAACAAACAAGCCTCCTCCTCACTCGGGGACGCGTGACTCCGACATATATATCGGCGCGGATGCCTTCGTCACTCGACGCACCGACCACGGATTGCAAAGGTAGCGGTTGGGAGAGCTCGGGCAAAATGTTACTTGTTGTGCGCAAGTTTTAGTTTGCAATTTGGTGCCGAGATGGTGAAATGGGCTCGAGTCTGCTGGGTTATTAAGGGCGCGCAGACACCAGACAGACAGACAGACATCAGACAGCCATCGCGTCTTTTTACGCCCCTGGGCATGTAAATTATTCTTTTTCTCGTGCGCACATACATCCACACACGATCCCTCTTAACAGCTTTTTTTTTGCAAACAACAAGCGTACCCCTATACGGGCCACTCTTTTCGCAAAAAAAAAAACTAAACACTAAAAATAAATTTATCAAAAATTACGACAATTCTAATAATCCTAATAATACCTACAAAAAAAAATCTAGAAATATCTTGAGAGACTCTACACCTCACCGACGCGTTGTTGAGCTGCGGGGACCCCTTGCCTCGGATGCGCAGCACCGTGTCCGGCTGGCAGCCCGCTGGCACCTTGATCTCGACCTTCCCGTCCACGACCTCCACGTTCACGTTGTCGTTTCCGAGGATGGCGTCCAGGTACGAAATCTGCTCCAACCACACGCATGAAAAAGCAAGGGGCGATTAAGGAAGGAACGACCGGTGACGGGCGTTCGTAGTAAACGGGTGAATCAGGGAACCATGGTGAGCATCGAGGTACGGAATCTACTCCAACCACACAGAACGACACACACACGAAAGGGGGGAAAAGCAAGGAATGATGGCAGGCGTTCGTGGTCAACTCCAGTAGGTACGAAATCCAACCACATAGAACCACACACACGCAAGGGAGGAAAAAGCAAGGGATAATGTCGGGCGCTCGTGTTTAACAAGGTACGAAATCTACTCCAACCACACAGAACCACACACGCACGCAACGGGTGAGGCAAGGGACAATGACGGACGTCTAGTTACGCAATGTACTCCAAACACACACACACATGCAACGGGTGAGGCAAGGACCTAACTACTTTCTTGGTAGGTGCCGAGTCCACCAAAGCGAAAAAGGATTCAGTCGGGTGCCCTCTCTAGCGCGGGTGGGTGCCAACTCGCCAACCGCTTTCGCTCGCACTACTCAATATACTACCCATCTTGATAATTCCACCCGCACTACCGCATACGACACTATAATAGATAACACCCCCCTGGACCGATTTATCACCAGCAGAGACAGCGAGGGTGCCGAAAACGGCGTCGTTGAAGTCGTCTAGTCAATGCTCTCCGTAAACGTACGCATCATTTCGTTTATGCATCGTCTTCCGTCGTGGAGTAATCGAGCTCTGAAAATCGGTCCAGGGGGTGTGCTATCTTGTGTATACCGTGGATACAACTCGCACTACAGAGGGCACCCGACTTTGTGCTATCTCTGTGCTGTGTACGTCAACAACTTGCACTACAGAGAGCACCCGACTTTGTGCTACCTTGTGTTGCAGTACACGGTATACAACCCGCACTACAGAGGGCATCCGACCTGCTTACCTTCTGCTCGCTGTAGATGTCCTTCCCTGTCCGCTTGAACTTGGGGTCGCTCTTTACGTTGAGGAACACGTACAGGTCTCCCACAGGCCCCCCCTTGGCTCCCGCGTCTCCCTCGCCCTTGACCCGGAGCTTGTTGCCGTCGTCCACTCCGGCTGGCACCTTGACCTGGTCGGTGCCAACGCCCACGCCGAGCGCGCCGAGAGCAGCAGTAGAGGCAGCAGCATTACATAGTATAAGAAACAGCGGCAGCAATAGAGGCAGCAACACCAGTATTAGTTAACAACAGCAGCAGTAGAACCAGAGGCAAAGGTGGACGGCGGCGATGTTGGGGCTAGCAAGAACAACACGTAGGGCTTTGCTCATGTGTTTCTTCCTAAAAACAAGGGTCGACAAAAAACGCTTCACATGTACATGCACACGTATGATACAACAAGTCAGAGACTCGACAGAACAAATCCCGGAGCATTCGGTAAAATGAGTTTTTGAGGATTCGCATACATTTGTCCTCGGGAAGCAAAATAAACACTCATGCGAGGGGAACAGACACACCTGAGTCCGCATTTTCTATTGTGACCGCCCTACAAGCCGGAGGCCCCGCAGCTGGTCCATAGGAAGCGCAACGTTTGTAGGCAAAGACAAGCTTGAAAAGGTTCGGGGTTGTGAAACCAAGCGTCCGCCGCAGTGTCGACAGACTTGAAACGAGGGAAACTGCACGTCGCGTATGCCACGTGTTGAGGGTTCCGTCATGTGATGGAATGCATGTATCTCACCTTGACCTGCTTGGTCTTCTCCACGACGCCCTGGCCAGAGCAAGACCCGCAGTACTCCTCGACAACCTTAAGGATAAGGGAGAAACAAACGGGTTTGAGAGCGAGCGTGAGTGACTGTGTGTGCGTGTGTGTGTGTCTTTACTATTAGCATCGACCGCGCTAACCGGCTGACCAATGAAAATACGTCAGTCTCAGCGCGGTTGAAAATACATAAAACTTTTTTTAAGTGCCACGAGTTTGTGTGCGCGTGAGAGAGAGAGACCATAATGCTTCGTCGTTAACCAATTAGCGCGAGGAGCGTCGTTACACGAATAAACAAGCACGAGTGCTCGGCACGTGTACAATTGTACTGCGGCTGACGTTTCCAGCACAAACCTAGGGAAGAGGCTACTGCTGCTCATGTATTCCGCACTATCCCAAGGGAGGACACCACCCACCTCTACTGGAGGCTACTGATGTTGATGTATTCCGCACTACCCTAAGGGAGGAGACACTCACCTCTCCGGTCCCGCGGCAAGTTGGGCAAGTCGTCTGGGTCTGGAAGGCGCCGAGGGGGGTACGGGTGGCCTGAATCACCACCCCGGACCCCGAGCACTGCCCGCACGTGCTGACCTTGGCCCCCGGCTTCACGCCGCTGCCCGAGCACGTGTTGCAGGTCTCGAGGTGGCGAATGCGGACCTAGCAATAGTTGGAAAAAAAAGTAAAGGGTGTGGTGTTTTTATACTATTAGCATCGACCGCGCCAACCGGCTGACCAACGAAAAGACGTCAGCCTCAGTGCGGTTGAAAACACAAAACACTTGCATCTGCCATGAACTGGGACCCCGTGAGGGGAAGGCATGGGGGAGAGTGCACGTGTGTGCGCGTGTGTGTTTCGTCCAATTCATCAAGGGTAGATGGAGCAAAATGGAAGCAGAAGAACGAGAAAGAAGTGAACATAAATTGGGAAAGGGGCGACGACAGTTAAGCAGAGGCGAAAGGCACGAAGATGATGTTATTGGCAACACGCCAAGGGTACAGCAAATGGAGAGGAAGGACTAGATATTGCGGCGCCACACCTCCGTTGATGCGCTTGTCAATGCCGTGCTGTGGAACCGAAGCACTCGGGTTTCGCAACGCGGGACTACTTAGAGAATTTTTTTGACGGGTCATACGAAAACCTCTTGGCAATCAGCGACATTCACTGAGTGTTATGCGGGCATGGACGATACCGCTGTAAAAAGACAGCGATACTCTCTGATTGTTTTGCGGACAATACCGCTGCAAATATACCTGGCAGCGACGTTCACCGAGTGTTATGCGGGCATGGACAATACTGCTACATATACATTCGCTTTCTGGCAGTACGGTTTGACGTTCCAAGCAGAGCACATCTGCGAGAGTCGGAGGAATAACCGGAGGAAAAAGCAACAACTCACAACACGCCAAATTTGCTGCCAGGACAAGCCAGGACTGCTGCGTCATGTACACCACGGCCGTGCTAAGTGCTGCCATGTACACGACGTGCTACTACAGCTACAACCGCCGTCGCTGATATTTCGTCACCTTCTCTTCCACTCCGAAGCAAGCTGACTTGAAGTCCAAGTCAAGGTCCACTCGAAGATCGTCACCTGCCAAAAACAAATATGAGGGGGGGGGTGGGGTCCGTGATCGCAAAATTCCGAAGCATGCGTCGATCGCTGAGGTTCACCGCATGCCGGGATAGGCACAACAACGATGGAGGAAACTGATCTTCAGTGCTCAGACATGGTACACTGTAGGGTGGGCTACGTGGAATCAACCACTTTACAGCTCATTGAACATCAACTGCTGCAAACAAAGCGGGCGGGCAAACAATGCCAAACCCATCCGGACGTTGTCCCAACACGGGGATTCTGGGCGGCCTCAGCATCTGGGCCCTGGAATGTTCACGACAGACGGTAAGCCACTGCAGCACAGACTGCAGACCGTGCCAACACCTCGTAATTTCGCAATTGAGAACTTGGCCAAAAGGACAAGTGCTCAGTCAAGGGCCTGCAGTAAAGCCTATAAAGTTGCGGTGGGAGTACCCATAGACAAGTTGCTAAAGAAACGAGCCTCAGCAAAAAAAAAAGAGGTTCATCAGTGGTGGCGCATGCTGTGCGCATACGCCCGAGACCCCGTCATTTCTACGGTGTGTTGTACCAAACACCTAACCAACACCGCCGCTCTCTCTATGTCCCTACACGCTCCCGAGATCGTAAAGCCGCACGCGCATTAAGTGGGCTTCCCGAAATATCTGAGACACCTCCAGAAAGAAGCATCGCGAAGGGGGTGCCATAAGGCAACACCAACGCCGCCCTGCGCTACTAATATACCGTCGCCAACCGTGGTGCGTTTCCCGGTTCCCTCGTGGACAAAAATATGACACGGCAGTAACTCTCACGACGACACCGTCTGGGTCACTCGATTTCCTCGTGAGAGTTACTGCCGTGTCGTCTTTTTGTCCACGAGGGAACCGACAATCGCACTGCTGTTTGCGACGGTTTCCTGGTGACAAGATTAGCCCAGGGCGGTGTTGCCTGATGGATACCCTTTCGGCGATGGCTTCATCGTGCGGTTTTTCTTGATTGATGCATCTCCGATGCTTCGGCAAGCCCACCAATCGGCCACAACATAATAATTGAAAATAGTGTGTTTTGTTTGGGTTATTGTTAACTATCAGCGTTGGGGACACAGTGTCTGGTCGCTAGCCCGCAAGTGAAGTCATCCCTTGGTCCAGGACACGACACAAGACACCAATTCTGGGGGCACTCCTCCGGAATAATAATACCTCTTGCTTCACAGGCATGGTGTCTCGCAAAATGTGCAACACCAGGGAGCGAAGAATTACTATGGACACGTCCCCGGCGTAAGGATAACTCGTCTTAACGAAACACCACGCGTGTCTTTCAACCAGGGACGGCTGTAAGTGATCAGTGGCAGGAGCACGAAAGCAGCAGCGAACGTTCTTTCCGCTGGGGAGAACCCACCGTTTTCGAGGTGGTCCCAATTACGGTCGAGTGTGTTGCGAGCATTGCAGACCAATCATCGCGGGACAATACGCATCAACTGCTTGGGAGATGCCGACAGCGGATCATTGCCGAAAGATGCATTCCCACCAAGCCGCTTGTGGTGCAAACTGCAGCTGGTGGTTCACCAAAACCACGCACGTCATGTACCGGCTCCAAAAAACTCAACAGCTAAGAACTTGTGATCTTGGTTAAGAACCTCTGCACTAAAACCCTATATAAGAAGTCATTTGTAGCCTGACCCCAGGAACAAAAAAAAAACAACAGTCTCGTCCAAACCTTGAGCTTATTAAGTGCGAGCACGAACCGTACTTGTTTCGGAGGGATCTAAGGTAAAAGGACGTGTAAATACAGCAACACAAAAGCTCTAAGCCCCCCCCCCCCCCCCCCCCCCCCCCCCCCCCCCCCCCCCCCCCCCCCCCCCCCCCCCCCCCCCCCCCCNCCCCCCCCCTACTTCTGCGCACCTCGTACAGGCCCCTGCCGCCTCTGCTGCTGTCGGCCCCCGCCACCCATACCACCTCCACCAAAAAAGCTGTCGAAAATGTCCGAAAGGTCGACTTGCTGATGGCCGAAGCGCGGGAAGAAGGCGCGGGAAGAAGCAAGGTTAACAGCGGAGAAGGTCAGAAACCGGTTAGGCATAAGTCAAGGAAACTATAAGTTATTTCTTGCAGAGCAGATAGACGGGCGAAGTATTTATAATTTTGGGTCGGCCATTTACAAGCACTGGTTTAGCTTGTGATGTTTTTGGGACTTGTAGGCCCAATAAATATTTTACACAAGATAGACAGCAAGTTCCATTGGCAAAACGATAGATTTAGTGCTGGGGAAGAATTAGAAGATGTAACACGAGGTTTATAAGTTTTATTAGTATATTAGAAATATGATTATGCTACTAGTATTGATTGTTTCATATACTAATTTTCTGAGGGAGTGTTAACACTTTCTATGAAACATGCAATATTTCAGCCACAGCAGCAGGAAAGGGGGAAGCACCATGTCCACAAATGGTGTCGGGAGGAGCCCAGTGCGACGAACGTGTGCGTACAATCATGCAAGCAAGAAATCGTACAACACCTTTAACCTTTCCGTGGGGGAACTATACCCCCTCTCTCCCCACAAGTTTCAGTACAAACATTGCCCAGCCGCATGCGTACGTCACGCCACGCGCTGTGAATGGGGACCCCATGTTTTGGTCGGGCAACGAGGGGCCAGCGGGAACGACAGGTGTGCTGCGGGGAGGATGCCATAACAGTGCCCAAAAAGAAACGTTGGAGTAAGTTATCATCCCAAGTATGCACACGACCGGAGCTTTTGAGGAGTGACTGCGACACCCTACCGCGAAAGGATACCCTGGGAGCTCCGTAAAACCACAAATTTTGAGTACCACCAAACAACGAAAGAGGATTTTCTTGCGCCGCCCGAAACTCGCGTGTGAAGTGGACACATAGCCATGCTCCGAAGACACCCGCCCCTCCTCCTGTTGCCCCCTTTTCATACCCATACACACGCGCATGCAAAACTCCTGAGCAGAATTTCAATTCCAAACCCAAAGACCACCCACGGAAGTAAATCACAAACCCGTGATATTGTTGTTGTTGTTGTCTTCACATTAAAAACCATCCCGGTCTCTCTATCCAGTACCTCCTTCTGTCTCAATCTCTCCGTACTAATCCAGCACTTGACTCGGTCAATTTCCGTGGTCACAGGCTAACGTACCTAGAAAAGGTATACCAAAATAAAATGGACCCCAAGGGTTAGCAGAGCGATAAAATACAAGAAAACAAAAGAATCAGAAACAAACAAATAAATAAATAGTGGAACGTGCGCACCACCAGCCTGGGGGGTAGCCTTCCGGAAGGACCCCCAAGGGTCAACAGTACGTGCCAGTGATATTAGGCAAGCCAATTCTCGTGCAGCAAAAAAAAAAAAAAAGTCGCGGCATCTCACGTCGAATCCCGCACCCCCTCCTCCGCCTCCTCTTCCGATCCCCGCCTCCCCAAACTGGTCGTAACGCTGCCGCTGTTCGTCGTCGTTCAAGACCTGATTTTCGCATTTTTGCACGCACATGGAAGCAAAAAATCAGCAAAAAATAGCGACCGGGAGCGTATTGAGACGTGGTTTGCATGCATATGGACGCAAGAACCAGGAAACACAGCCAAAGGGGGGTGGAGGAAGACCTGGTTTTGCATGCACATGGGCGTCAAGAAGCAGGAACCACAGCGACAGGAGGCCATGATGGCCATCCCTATTTCTGGTCATGGGATTTTCGAAAGGGGACGGCAGAAGCAAGCAACATATGGCGCGATGGTCCGATATCCAACCTTCATGAGCGCCGCGTGTTCGTCCTTTCTCTTCTATTGACGCGCCAGTCAAAAACCTGTTGGGTGAATATCAGGTTTCATGCAGCAGCCGGGGTAATGCCGCAGCTACCTGTCAATGTGTAGTAACAATTATGCTAGAGCCCCACCTTTTCTGCTGAGCAAATGACAAGACCTCCCCCTGGGCGTGCGTGTTTCGCAAGGTACATTCGTTCATGGTGCCACTTTTTTTTTTTTTTCTCCCACTATTGAACTCTGTCGTCTGCCCCTCTGGCCCCCATCCTCCACTTCTGCTAGCGAGACGGCCCAACCGGGGTCACATAGGAGGGAGGGGGCTGGACCCCCTTCCGCGGTTCCTGCCTGAGATATATTTATCGCGAGCAGGTACAGCAATCCCTTTCCTCGCGAATGACTGGTGTTGCGGTGGGACTTCGGATGGGCCTTCGTACTTCCCTCCTCTTGTTTTTTCATGGACTTGAAAAGCGAGGTTAACCACTGGAGATACAGTCGTGCCCTGGAGAAATAAGAACCATTGCTGAGGACACTCCCCTGGTTGGGAGCATCGTTTGTTCACATGGTGCCCCGCAGAGTGTACAACATAGGGTGGGGGTATCAATCTTGAAGACTATCGTTCCCGGCTTAAGGACACCTGTAACAACGAAAAAGAATGCGTGTCCAAAACCGAGGGCCAAATACCGTAATCCTTGTTGTTCTGCGCCTGCGGTACTAGCCTTCAGCTTTAACCGGGGCGGTTCGTCAGTTCCATATATTATTGCTACGTTCTGTGATTTCTAGAAATGCGTACTCCATTCTCGGGTTGTGACCACCGAGGGCGTCTGCTCCAGTTGGACCGGTGCGGGTATAACAAGTTATGCTTCGGAATGCTTCGCAGTGCTTTGAGAGCAACGTTTTTTTACGTCAAGGCGACACCAACTCACGGTGATGCGCTGACTGCGTCGAACCTTGTTCTTCGCATTCCAGAGAATATTCGAGCCGGGTCTACCAACTAACCCCGGGGTGACCGATCTGCAAAGGAGAGAGAAATCGACGCAGCAACCTCGTTTTACACCTCTACAACCCGCAAACATCCGCGGAGCAGCAGCGGTTGCCGTGCGACGCGGTTCTGCTGCTGTTCCCCCGACTATTCGCGCGAGGGCAATAGAGCGGGTGGATGGCTGCCCTGTCAACCTACTACCGTAGATGACGCAAGAAACACATCCCCCGGATCAATTTTCAAATCTCGATTTCTCAACAGCAGAAAGGGCCACAGCGCCGAAAACGGTGGCGTTGAAGCTGTTTCGTCGAGACCCTTGCCAAAATGTATCGGTTCATTCGTCGCGGCGTAATCGAGCTTTGAAAACTAGTCCAGGGGGTGTGTTATCTTATGTCATGTACGGTCATAGCGTCTCGACCAAGTACGAGATGGTCCCTTCCTCCTTTTTACGTACAAACTAATAGGACTCGCAACGTGGGGCTTCTCACCCCAAATGGCGTCATCTTCCCTGTCCGTTAGGGAAGGCGACGCCGTTTGGGGTGAGAGGCCCCACGTGGTTATTCCTATCAGTTCTCACGGCCGGCCAAAAGGGGAGAGACCAAGTCGTATTTGAGCGCGACGCTCATGAGGCAACCTGGGTCAGGGGCAGTGCGGGCGGGCACCCGCTCCAGCCCTCCCGCGAATCGAACCCTGCCCCGTACCCACCTATGCTAATACTAAGATTAACTTCCTTGCGAAGGGCAGGTACTGGAATCGAATGCCAGGGGTAAGGGGATCGAAGAAGCCAATTCCCGAGTTTTGTGCACACCCACGCCGCTCCCTCATGGGGTCCAGTTAATGGGCAATTACAAGATATTGTGTTTTCAAGCGCACTGAGACTGACGTCTTTCCATTTGTCAGCCGGTTAGTGCGGTCGATGCTAATACAGTAGGTGTCCCGATATAGTGCCGGTTGAAAAGTGCCAAAGTCCGGTACAGTGCCGGTAAACTTTCGTGACAACAGACACAGGCACAGGTCTGAACAGTGCCAGTTCACACCCCACACACAGCCCTTTCTCGCATCAAGCCTTCCACGCCCACAGGATTCGGAGACGTTTCCCTTCGAGCTACAAGTATAGGTCGGTTCTCTCGGTACGCGTGACGTCTTCAAATGTCACGGTTTACAGATCGACTAGGTTCCACCAAAAGGTTGGGATTTCAGTAGTGAGGCGAGCGAAAAAGAAAGATGGTGGTAGTGACGAAGGATATGGAAAATGTAGCCAAGGTTGGAAGTGATAATGCAGGAGGAAAGTATGGCGTTGAGGGGAACAACAAGAGTTTCGAGCGAGATGACCTCCCTCACAGCAAAAACGCCACAGTGGCGCCGAGTCTAGAGATGGAAGCCCGAAAAATAATGGAAAAATAATAGTGAATGGTGTAGAGTGGTGGTAAGTAAAATACTTTCAAGGAAGGATGAAAACACTACGAAACGAACGCGTGTTCAAAGAAGTAGGTAAGCCTTGGCAGTCAATTAGTTCTCCCTCGGTTGCCTCCATCTCTGTCTTTTATCCAGAGCGAAGCTCAGTCTCCTTAATGACACCCTCTCATGGCCTTGAAAAACAAATGTTTTGGTTTGCCAGTCATTTTTCTTCCGAAAATAAATGTTTTGGTTTGCCAGTCATTTTTCTTCCGTCGTTAAGGCTTGACCTCTCTAGCTTTTTATGGAAGGAACAGAATAATTGTTTTTCTTCTTCACCCCTTTCTTAGGTTGCATCTGGTTTTTTGTGCTCATCTAAGGAACACTACATCCATCCGTGCCTCCACATGTACATCGGGTGCATGCATGAGCGTCTTTCTTCGCTGTCGAGGGGTGCCTTTGAGGTTGCCTGAATAGTGCTACGGCCTTCTTGCAATACAACACATAAAAATTTGGTAAGGAGGTGGACTTTTATCGAGCAGCACGGTCTATGTTTGAAAGGCAGCAGCAACGTTCCACTAGCGAGTGCTTGCGATGAGGTGGGAAGAGAACAACTGCTGTGCAACAAATCTATCTGGTCAATCAAGTTAATTTTAATGTGACCAATGCCGTGTTTCGACAGTCCACGAGCCGCACGAAACTTCATGAAGCCCGCCCACGTCGCCCACCTCACGATTGATCCAAATACCCTTCGTTTGGCACTCTGTCAGCCCCCGCAAGGCGTAAGCGCTGCACTGAGGTCGAAGAGTAAGTAGTGCCAAGCCGGCATTATAGAGAGATTTCTAGGCCCTGAATACTGCCGGTTTGGCACTGCTGTTCAGGCCCAATTCTGATTAGTGCCGGTGCCCGAGTCAGTGCCGGTCAAATCGCCTCGACACATACCCGCACTATATCGACACCTACATATAATAAAAACACACAACACACCTGGCGTATTTACTGTCAACGAGGGACAAACTGGACTCATGTGGTGGTTGGTCACAAGCGTGAGCAGCATGATCGCTTGTTATGCATACTCGCTGCTGTGTCACAGAAATACTGCAGCACAGCAGCAGCCAAATCCGTCAGAGTGTTGCACGTGGACTGTTTGTGCGAGTCCACGCAGGGTTGGTAGAAAGAAGAGGGCCGCCTTCAAGATACAGCAAGGCCTGTGCAACCAGCCTGATTGCATGGGAGGAGAATGAGGACCTGGACCCATATATCAACAACACCTACACACGATTCTTTGACACTCCCTGCCAGCCACCAACCAACCAGCAGCAGGTCGGTCGCAATTTGAGGCAACCTGAATGTTGTCAGTACCTGGTACGCAAACCTCGCGGGAGATGCGTCTGTGGAGGCATGAACCGCACACCTATCAATTTGTGCAACACTCTTTTACAACAAGCGTTTGGCAAACCTCGACACCATGCAAAGTCCGCCAGCCGTCTTCGATCGTCCACCACTCTCATAAACGTACCACAAATAGAACCTCAGGAGAATGCTGCTGCTGCTGCTCGTGCTGCCATACAGTACACGTGTTGACATCCTACCGTTGTACACAGTCCGGAAAACAACTAGTATAATATTTAACTCACGCTGTAGGCGGTGCTGATCTCGTTGAATTTCTCGCTCGCGCCGGGGGAGTCGTTGACGTCAGGGTGGTACTCGCGGGCGAGCTTCCGGAAGGCCGACTTAAGCTGCGACTTGTCGGCGCCCCTATCCACGCCGAGCACCTCGTAGAAGTCCCTGCCCATCCGCAGCGCTCCTCCCCGCGAAGGTCTGCTTGACCTCGCCCTGCTTCTGCTGCTGCTACGTGCTGGCCTGCGAGCGGACGAGAACGGCCGGTTGGCGCCCGCGGCGCGCACAGGCGTGCAGTTGCTTCTCCACTCCTCCGAGTGGCAGCCGCCACCCGACCTGACGCCCGACCATGCCGACACGAAGGCCGGGCTACTGTCGGACCTGGGCGCTGTTACGACGCCGAAGGGGGTTGCGGCGGCGAGGCTGGTGGTTGCGCACACGAGCCCCAGGAGGGCTGACCTGGTCAGCCTAAGCATCATGTGTTGTTGCTCCTATCGTGGCAAAAGTACAAGCTGTGGAGGGGCTTGAGCTGCGCGTTTTTCGGCCGTTGGAGCGTTGTGCTTCGTCGTCACTGCTGTATGGTGCCCACGCTTTACGGAAAAACTGGACTGCAGTGTGTGCCGTGAGAGCGGCGAGACGGAGATGATCGGATGCAGGATGGCAGGATGGGCTTCCTGCTGCTGCCACGCATGGGGGCTCCGTGGATGGAATTTTCTAGATTCTCAGGGAATGGGGTACAGCAGTACAGGAGTGGACGGTCACGAAGTCACAAACCCCGCGGCTGATTCCTGCCGTGTATCCCGCGAATCTGCTGCCGTTTGCATGATGATCGCATGATCGATCGTCAGTCTGCTATCGCCACGCGCGTTACATTCCACAGCAGCGGTTCCGTCTCATGCCATACAGCGATCGTCTAACGAGCGACAAAATACTTTATTTAGCGTCGGGCAGGTTGAGAATCTTGGTCGCTCGCCGTTCTGTGGGTCATACGCTCAACCACAGCCAACGAATCCCTGTTTGTAGACTACATATAGACTATCTGCCATCTCGAAAGGGGGCAAAAATAAAAAGAAATCCGCCCTTTCCGCTCTTGCTCTGTGTTTTCGATCGATGGGGGCGCTTATAGTCGTCAACCCAGAGTGTTTTGTTTGTTGTTTTTTCTCACATTAGCTCTAAAAAAGAAAGATTGGGAGCCCGTGGTCTCAAAACCCGGCGTACACGACCCCACGAAGAAACAGAAATAAATAGGGTACAAAAACCACTCGGAAGAGAAACAAAATGATAGAAAGACCANATCAAAATAAAATAAAAGGAGAACGGGGAACGCTTCCCACACCCGCCTACAAAGCCGGAGGGTTCCGTGCCGGGTTCCCGCCGACCAGGCATCCCCCGCCCTGCACCACACCCCAGGGGGTGCAGCAAGACGGGGGGCGAAAAACAGTGTGTGATGGGTGCGAACGTAGCGAAAGTAGCGACGACCGGGTAGACAAAGCACCGTGAGCAATATAATAATAAAATAACAGCAGTACCGCTCTGGAGTGGGAGAGAGGGCGCGTCGACAATCGGTATGGACCAGGCAGGGGACCACCTTTCGAGAGCACTACTGCTGTATTCTATACGTAGGAGGGGCTCTTCTTCTGAAGGCCACTGCAAGTTAGTGGGGCGGGAGGAGCGCGGAGAATATTCGGGGGAAAAGACCAACGAATTTGAACGAATACATGATGGTTTGCGGTGGTATTCCTTTGACCGGCGTGAAGCAAGGAAGGATTTCCTGTCCTCTTTGGCAGAGTTGTTGCTACCTTCCTCCTCGGCTGCGCTTTTCGTTCCACAACGACGCTCGCTGTTCCATCCATCCCTGTCTTGTGTTTAATCTTTTTTCGTGTTGCAAATCTTTTTCCCTCTCTGCCCTGCCTTTGAAACCTGTTCAACTAGCTTGTCTTGCGCTGCAAGGCGAATCAACCAGTGGGTCGAGAAAACTTCACGAGGAGGACTAAATAAATGTGTGCTGCTTTGAGACAGCTCGTTCTTGATCTGAAGACACCCTCCGGCTCAAAGAGGTCGCTGCACAAGAGATGCCTCTTCCCCTCTACAGCAGCAGTCGGTCGTTCTACGTGCTCCAAAGCGGCCAGCGCACCAAAAAACCTCTCTGGATCGCTCTGGATGACATGCATCTCTGTCAGTACAATGTAGAAGTAAGCGATAGCCATGCACTGCACCTCGAAGGAATCGTGTACAAGAATATGCACGACCAATATCTATCTGTGCTTCGTATCTCCCTCGAGATGCACAGTGACAGTCGGAAACGGAGGGTACGCATTTACGCAACACCACCGGTATCACCCCTGTTGCATTTCCTTCTTTTTTCGTGTGTCATGTCATAGAGAAGAGAGAGACACAACGAGCGGTGGGTCGCTTGCGAAAATTTTTGGATCATAGAATGTGGCACGCGCGAGGCTGGTTGAACATGATGTGGGCGCGTCGCCAAAGGTCCTTTGCAAGGGGCAAGGGCTGGCCGGTCAGGTTGCGGAAGCTCGAACAGCATTACAACGAGGCCAACATATCAACTCCTAGCACACACCAGTAGGTAGTCGCTCCATTTTCCCAATCCTGCTACACCTCAATCTTCACATCCCCTCCCCCGTTCGTGCAGGGGATCGACAGTGGATCAAACGGAGATGATACAAAGTCAGCTCGTCAAACTCTGAAGAGCACACTTTCGCTCGCATGTGTCACACTTTGAAGGGAGGCCGGCCACACAACCTCAGCGATCGGTTGGTCGAAATATGCCCCGAACGATAGTTGCAGGGACGCCGGCCAGATGACTCCGGCAAAAGGTTGGTCGGAATCATCCCCGAACGTTAGCTGTTTCAGAGACGCCGGCCATACGACGCCCCCAATAGGTAGGTCGAAGTGGTCCCCGAACGTTAGCTGTAGCAGGGACGCCGGCCACACGACTCCGGTCGTGGGTTGATTGAATATTGAACTGAACGATAGTCGTTGGGGGGACGCCGGCCACATGACACCGGTTATTGGTTGATAAAAGAATTTCTCGAACGATAGCTGTTGCAGGGAGGCCGGCCACGAAACCTCAGCGATGGGTGTCTCGAATCCGGACGCGAACGACAACTGTTGCAGGGAGGCCGGCCACACGACTCCAGTGATCGATTGCTTGAATCTTGACCCGAACGATAGCTGTTGCAGGTTCGCCGGCCACTTGACTCCAGTGATGGGCTGGTTGAAAGAACCCCCGAACGATAGCCGTAGTAGGGACGCCGGCCACTTGACTAGAGTAATGGGCTGCCTGAACCCAAACCCGAATAAATTGATAGCTGTTGCAAGGACGCCGACCATACGATTCCAGCAATAGGCTGATCGAATGATTTCCCGAACGATAACTTTTGCAGGGACGCCGGCCAAATGACAAAGCATTTCCAGGGGACAGACGTTGCAAACCCTCAGGCCAAGACACAGATCCTGGGCTAGTCCCAAACCATGATCCCTGTAGCTCTATTACTTCTGACGACATCCACAGCTCCATGGCCGCTCTCTGCACCAGATATTTCACGGAAAGCGCCCATGTCAAATGAAGAGCGCGCACGACCGGCACACGGCTCGAGGTACGCGCCTGCGAGCTGCCTTCTATCGGCCCGGCATTACGAGGGGACCATAACCTTCTAGGAGTCTCACGTGTTACACCGACGTGCAAGATCGACACACTTCAGCAAGCCCTGCAGATATCCAGCGAGGCCAGCTGGAACTCCAGTGTCGCCGCAAACCAGTGCTTCTCCCCTCCCGCACATGCTTGGCTCAAGGCCATGTCGAAGATATCGAAGCACCTGTGCCCTGGGAACAATGCGCGCGGGGCAAAATCGAACGGATTTCCAGAAAGGAAGATCGGATACATGCGTATGACAACCTTTCATGTCGATGCGATACGCGGTGATATCGATCGGGGGTACAAGGAGACGCATGAGACGAGAACATCTGCCCTTCTCTCATGTCGATGCTCGAACACGTCAGGAACGGCTCTTCGGCAGGTTCCGGAAACACGTCGACGACAGCTGGATCTGAAGCAGTGGAGACATCGAAACCCTGTGGGTAACGCTGCTGCAATTATCGCAGATTTTTCTGACCAGGCGCGAAGTGAGATTACAGTGTAGCGGGGAATGCGGTCAAAATGTGGGTACATGCTAGGGCACACGAGAGAGCTCCCAGGGTCCCATGGGGCTGACCTCTAGTGATCAATATTGCCATATTTCGTGGTTTGAACCACGCCGGTTGGCCGACGATGGCCATGTTTCGACGTTAGTGGATGTGGAGCAGGAATACCTACCGTTCCCTTGTTTCGTAGCACTCAAAGGAGCTGTGTTTGGTAATATAGCGACCATTCGTCGAAATGAAGTTAGAACGTGCACACGAGAGAGGGGATGGCGAAAAATGAGTCGACAACGCCCCTGGTGACGAGAATCTCGTCAAAGAAACAAAGGTTCGTGGCCGATATGGTTGGCTCCAATGCAAGAAGCCCTACGCAAAACTACTGCTGTAGGTACATGGTGGATGGTGATACACGGGGACTGCGATGCAGCACCAAGCACTCCCTCCATAAACCACGCCCTGGTATACTACGGGCATAGTCTATCTCCTGCAGTTCATACCAACGATACGCACACAGTACGGTTGCAAGCAGACCGCGGACGTCAATGTGTAGACCCTCGCAAACGAAGACAACGTTTTCCATAGCTCTTACGTTGAACACTCAACGGACTTTGGTCGTGAACTAAACGGAAGTGTTATATACGACACCGGTGTCGTACTTCCTTATATACGACACCTACCATTTCTTGGCCCACAGGGCTCCAATCGGCGTACAACAAAATGCGCTGTGTAGCCACGGCCCGCAGCTATCAGCCCATTCCATTTTGGGTCAAATCGGCCAAGTGGCTGAAGAGATATCTTAGAAAAAGGGGGCTCAGCAGCATCGCAGGGTTAGGTTCTACCACAAATACGACTGTAACTCCGCCCCCAGAGCTCCAATCGGCGTACAACAAAATGCGCTGTGTAGCCACGGCCCGCAGCTATCAGCCCATACCATTTTGGGTCAAATCGGCCAAGTGGTTGCGGAGAAAAAGCCGAAAAGAGCCCTGTGGGCCAAGAAATGGTAGGTATCGTATATAAGGAAGTACGACACCGGTGTCGTATATAACACTTCCGTGAACTAAAACCCGTCAGATATTCCGCCGTACGTTGCTTTTATGGTGCAACTGACGGGGATGCCCTCCGTGGGCACAGGCTAGCATCAGCTACAACTAATACACTTTGCCCCAAAACGCAAATAAAAGAGCAGAGAAAACACTCGATAGAACTCGTCGGCCAGCGAGGTGTGGAAAGCCCGTGGAAAAGTGGCAGGGGCGCAGTAGTCCAACAGATCCAGTTCGTTCTCTCGCATGGACCGTTCGTCAACATCTCAGCCAGTTTCTCATGTTTCGCTTTTGCTGGAGGCGGCGACGTTTGTTTGTTTCCCTTATCCCCCGCCCTACGGTTACCCAGCAAACGACGTCATCCCTATGGTTCTGAGTCCCACGTGGCGACTGCATCAACTGCACCAATCACCTCAACTTCGCCCTCCGCTGCTGTCGTTGCTGCCGTTGGCAAGACCTCAATCTATCAAGTTTCACCTATCGATTTGTCCAACGGCCAATAGAATCGCCAAGACTCTCCCTGTTGTTTAGCCAGAGAGCGTGCACTAGGCGCGCTGTACCTGCTGTGCTTTTACCTATGAGAGGGATTGGGCCACGGCGGGTGGGTGCGATTCTGTGGATGTGTGAGACTCATCATCAGCGGTATGCTACCTCTCTCTGTTTCGTCTCCTGGTTTGAATCGCGCGCGCTTGAGCTCTCCGCTCTTGAAAGCTTTTGAAATCCCGCTTTTCTTCCTGAACTCCCAGGGACACGGGCATCTCTCGCCGACGCACGACCAAACCGGTGTGACGAAGAGTGCGCTATTTTCTTTGTCCCTACAAACCAACAGATGAAAAATCGGTGCCCTTACATTCGTTCTGGTCCCAAAGGTGGGTTGTTTAGGCTTCCCGGCATTCACACTTTGGGCCCCTGCATCGCGTTGGAACGGGCCGATATTTGTCGTTGCTGTTGTTGTTTGACATTACCTCACAGAAAGACTACCCGTTCGAGATAACACCACGGTCGAAAGTCTGTAAAGCAGTGAGTGGGAAGAAGACCGGCTGATACTGGGCTTACTTGAGGTCTATTTAAGCTTACACGGAGTACACTGACCTATTTTCAGTGACGCCAGCTGGTGCTAATCACAAAAACACTAGACTAGACTACTATTGTTGTTTCGTTTTCACACTAAAAACCGGTCCGATCTCTACTCACAGGACTCCACCCCGCAGGGGGTGTGGTAACTGAGTGTGTGGTAAAGCGGGGTTGCGATACTGTCATCGATGGGATGAACTGTACCCACTAGACCCCACCCATAGGGTGTGATAAAACAAGGGTGTGTGATAAAGATGGAGTGTGACAATGTCACCCGCAGGGAGAGGTACCCCCACACTCCCCTACTTAAAGGGTGTGTGATAAATAAACGAGGGGTGGTGTCGTGTGGGCGTCAACAGCACGGGCTGTACTAGGCACAGCAGGTGTTTGTTGTTGCGGGAGTTATTTTCAGCAGCAGGATCTGCTGCGCGGGGCTCAGGAGAACGGGCTGTCTGCGAGAGTTTCAGGCGCCACAGAAGAAATACGTAAATGGCCGCGGCGCCGCCGCTGGAGTCTGTCTCACTGCAGTCTGAGCCGCGATATGCTTTCAGGAGTGTTGTGGGCTTGTTCATCTCCCCGGTGTTTTCGGTCGCCATAGCTCTAGGGCAGGGTTGCGGCGTCCGCTTTGTGCGTGATCACACGTGCGTGTGTTGCCGCCTACGGGAAAATTGCTTTTTTTTTTTACGGACATTCCTAATCCTAGAATCACATCTTGAGGAAGTCTTTTCGCGAGGGACACACACTGCCCCTGCTGCTGCTTGCTGCTGCTGCTGCTGCTGTTGCATCAGCTGAGGTTGGGGGGCTCCNCGTGTTTTGGTCGTCCCCGCCTCCGGCAGCTGAATTTGGAGGACTGCCGTGCCCCGAGTTGCCTTGAATGGCCGCCGCGGCGCCCGCCGCGGCGCTCGCGCTCGCCGGTTGCCCATCATTGCCGTCCATCCAAAAATCGATCAAATCCTAGGCGGCACTCCGTGTTTGATGCTCCTCAAAGCTGCTATCTCTGCTACTCCTCTCCTTCTCTCAAATGCACGTGCTTGTCTCTCGCCCAGCGAGAGCACAAAAACTTTCTGACACCACGGCTGTCTCTATTTTTCTTCGATCCCCGCTTTTCCGAATTCCAACACGCCTCCACAAACCACAGATTCAAATACGTACTGAATCTTCACGATTCTATTACTGCAACTCTCGCTGTAGTGCTGATCCCGAATCATGCACATCATCTAGACTATGCGTTTCCCACATGCAAAGACGCACACACACCATTTTTTGTCTGATGTGGTTGAGGTTAGGTACCCAGCAAACGCTGTTTGACGTACTCACAGCATCGACAGAATATTGCAAGCAAGAAATTTCCGAGCAGATGGAGCGGGGAGTTTGGGGGTTCAGCAGTTGCTTCGGATTCGATTTGATGGTACCAACTTTGCCGAATATTACAGGATTGAGGGTGGGGGTATGTGTGTGTCTACAACGGATATGATGACTGTGGGTTGTGGTTTCTCACTTGTCTTTGTTTCCTCTTTTTCCTCCTTCCTGTGTGCAATCAAGTCCCTTTTCCCCGGCTATCACGCTACCACGGCTATCACGCCACGACTTCCACGCCAATCCTGGCTATCACGCCACCCGGCTATCACGCCTTCCGGACATTCACGTCCTTACTTACACATATACACCACGACTATCACGTCACCAGGCTTCCGCGCCACATCCAGAGATACCATACCCGAGCTATCACGCTCCATCCCAAAGTAGAAGGCTGTCAAGCCCATCATAGCTCCTACACTGTACCGTTGTGGTGGCTACCGCGCCGCTGGCTCTTTCATTCCCCAACCAAGGGACCCCGCGCGCCAAGGCACCGACGCACAAAGCTACTCAACACGCTCGCGTAACGATCAAGAGAGTGGCCGCCGTGTCTAAGCGCGCAACATGCCGGACGGAGACGGGCGACA